TCCCCACATTACTTATTTTCTGAAATGAAAATTGGAACCCTGCAGAACTCTGAGTTTTCTTGTTCAGAACATCTATGTTGTCTACCAACACTTAAAAAAATATATGAGCAATACTCTTTGATAAATTCAACAAGCCCCTTTTGCCTTCCTGGTGCATATTCAGAAGCTTCTCTCAGACTTTGTTAAGAGCAAACTAATTTGAGCTGAAAACACATCTCATTTCTTTAATATCAATTCAACCCAGTATCTGCCAGTTACATACCAGTAACACCACTGCAATAATGAGATGTCATTTATCTGTGAATGATATTCTGTATGTGCATCCTGAATTATTTAATGAACCTTTTAAACCTCTCTTCCCTAAGAATCTGCCTATCCTTCTGTATTTCTGGTTGTTTCTGTCTAGCCACTGACTGACAGAGAAGAGCGCCACATTGGAAGAGATTATCTCCTATAAAATTGCTTTTTAAACCTTTTAAAATTGTGCTCTCTAATCAATCTTGTCCTAACTAGTGCATGTATTCATTTCCTGGGCAACCAGGAAAACAATGCAACTGCTTAACCAAATAGTGCAAACACAAAAAGAACCCAAAAAAGAGTTAGCTTCAGTTTACACAGTGAAAACCAATGACTGTAAGTGTTTTAAAGGTCTTGCAATATTCCATTTCCTGTAAGGAAAGGCTTCTTTCTGTCTCTAAAGTTCACTGGTGTGCAGACTTTCCACGCACATGTCTCTATATATACTTAAAGAGATAATTTAGCAATAGCACTACATAGAAAAGGCCTCAACATTTGGAGAAACATGGATTAGCTTCGAGGTTTGAACTATTCTTACGCTTTTTCTGGGGAAGAAAAGAGTGTAAGAATAGTTTGGAATAAGTAATCACAACCAGAAATAAACCATAAAAGTTTGGGTTATGGAATATGTGACACGGGAAGCATAGAGGGGAATATCATGTTGAAACAAGGGCATTCTGTTACTAAGGCATCCAGGCCCAGACTCAGATGGAGCTTGCTACATGTTTTCTCCAACTAATGAACACCCTGAAAGCCTTTTTTGGGTCTCCGAAGCAAACCAGCCTGTCCCCAAACAACCTTGCTGTGATCTTCTACCAAACTCGATCAAGTCATAAGAACTCCACAACACGAAAACTCCCATTGTAAAAATGAAGAAAGGGCAAGTATGAGATTTTTTTTTGCACCAATCACAAGCTTGTCTGGATATTTGGATATTATTCTGAAATAAAACAAGCTGTTCATAAAAAGAAGAAAATGCAGACGAAAACAAAAAGGCCCTGAAAACTTTCACCTGGTAATCTGAGTTACTCTCTTGGATTTTGTTTCTGAAAACAGAGTTCTGAGGAAAGGGCTACATTTAATGTTTCCTTCCTCCACTGTCAAATCTACACTAGTGAATTCAACAGTCTGGAGACCTCTGGATACTGGCTATACACCTTATGGTGGAAACATAACAACATTAAATATGCAGGTTGGGTGGTTTATAAAATACAACAATATTGTTATCAATACCGGATCTGTACTCCAGATGTAGTAAGGAAGAATTTCATCACTGCTCACAAGGGCTGCCCCACTGCTTTATTGTATTTACCAGCTGTTTCTAATCTGTTTTGCAATCAGATTGTAAAGCAGCACTTTTATTTCTATGTTATACAACACAAGGAGGATTTGCTGTTTAAGTAGGCTTGGCAGACTCGCAACACAGATAACAAGATAACGCTTTGCAAATTAGCTTCTTGTGGGCCATCCATCCTAGGAGTGAATTTTATTCTGGATATTCTTGGAAATCTCCTAGCAATTTTAAGCCTTTTTAGTACTTCACTTTGCAATATTAACATTCTTTTTATAATTTTAAAAATCTGAATATCAATTATTTCTACCTGAAGGCAAACCAATTGGGGAAATCCTGTTTCAACATGTGCATATTTCCTCTGCATAGATACTCATGAAAGTATGCTGAGTTTCTCTCAATTATTTATACAACATAAATACAATCAGAATTTTTAATTGAAAAATGCTAGCAATAAACAATTCAAAATACAAAACCAACAATTTCTTTAGCAATGGATTAAATGGGACCCACTAGGAATACAAAACCAATCATTTTAGATTTTTATGTTTCAAAGCAAAAAGATTATGCTAAGACTGACTTTAGGTTGTGATTTCTCAAACAAATTAGAAGTAATTATGATGAATTTCAAGGGCTGGACAAATGTCCATTAAAGTCAATAGGAATCTTTCCCATTACTTCTATAAAGCTTTGATTTAAACCTTTAAATTCATTTGAATACCCTTTCTACAAGGGTACAATGTAAAGGAAATCACATACCTATTAGAAATACAACAGGCAAGTCAACTGGCTACCTTGAAGCTTCTTTAATGAAAAACAGACTTCTTTGGAATTAAGACTGAAATCTTGACATTTCAGATACTGCTTTCTGTGACTTCTGTTGGTTCGGAAACTGCTGCCATGCAGCAGTACACCGATATAGGGGTGTATGTTTGTGTGCGCGTGGGTGTGAGTGCACACCTATCTCCCTGACCTTTATTATTTTTCAGTGGCTTGGATTCTGCTTTTAGAATAAGTACACTTTCAGACGTCTGTTTTAATCCTTTATGTTTTTGAATAAAATAGAATTGCATTCTATCTAGTTTTATTTTAACCTCTGGAAGCAAACAGCTCTTACAGTAATTCTTACTCATTTCCCCTGGGCTGCTTTTGTTACTCATGGAAATCATGTGAAACTTTCGGATACCTGTAAGATCTACATCATTTCATGCATGGTAGGTGTTAACCATTTAATACACAACTGAAGACACTCAAATACTATAATAATGAGCACTTGCAGCACAGGAACCTGTATAAACTAGCACTAGCCACCACATTTATAAACGCGCTTAGGCTGGGCTTCTTCTATAAGATGTAACAGTGTAAATCTGAAGTTCCTAATTCAGCAGAACTGTAACAGCTGGTCCTCAGACCATAAAAATCCACTAGCTCTTATTCTCTCATATACAGAAAAATGTATGCATTTATAATACTGATTCTGATTATCATTTTATTACTTCTAAAAACCCATCCAAAGCACAGGAATAAAAACACTGTGTGGAAAGAATTTGCCTTAACTGAGGTTCTGCCACAAAGCCTGGACTTGCGTGGAAGATATATAATACTGGACTTAATGTAAGAAAAGATATAAAAATATGACATTGCTTTTTCAAAGTGACAATAAAGTGACATCATGTTTAATAGTTACATAAGGAAATAAGTAGTAACCAAACGAATAAAACTGTTCAAGATCAGCTCCCTCAGGGAAGTTAAACTACGCAGTGAGTGCAGCTCATTGACTAGTGTCATAATCCAACACTCTACTGTAATCCTCATTCTCATGTATGTAATCATCCCATTTGGGTAATGCATAAGCAGAGGTTTTTGTTTTATAAGCAGAGATTCTCAAAGAAGTAAAAATCTCTTTCTGCAAAGAACTGCCACTGGAAACATATTTGCTCCAAGCACACAATGTTCCATTTGTGTTTGTAGTAGGCTACTCTGTTATTACTGTTTTCTTTCCCTTATTTACTAACAGCCTGTCTTTTCCTCAGTGGTCCTTCAAAGCAAATCCTAGGCTTACTTTCTCAGTTTCTTTATTTTTCCACTCTCCCTATGGAAATAAAATATTTGCAAAAGACAAATCCTACAGATTTAATGGAGCTTTACGTTGGGCAGTGAAAATGCACCTTGTTTTTTTCCCTCCTTACTTATGTTAATAAGAAGTTTCTCCTATGGAAATTTCAAATATTTTAGGCAAATGAAAATTCCCCTCCTCCTCTGAGCATCTCAAAGTGTACTTACCTCAGCACCTTGCAGTGTTTTTGTAGTGGGTCTGAAGATTTAAGGATATTTAAGTATTCAACAACTTTTGCTTAACACATCATAAAAAGAAGGAAATGTTAAAAAGGTTTAAGGCGATGGGTAGATAACACTAGTGAGTCACACTCAGTATGAGCCTTTGAAGCTATAAATAGAAATACTTTAAAGCACCTTCCTTTAACAACTTTGTTTTTTAGTATCTGAAGGACCAGGTGAAAGGGTTGAAATACCCAGTAACTTATGCCATTTTATTCTATTGAGAGACACACAGATAACCTAGTTAAGCATTTTTTCGCTCAGAAATGAAAACAACTTGGTCATGATTTTTAAGCTAGCACCATCTCATCTATGGGGAGACTGGATTTAGCTTAGCTTCAATTCCTGGAATAACACTGGAATAAACAGCCAAACAAACTATTCCTAAGCATCAGTAGGAAATATGAAAATGTATTACAACCAACACCAATATGTCAAGAGCACATCTCATGAAGACAATCTTTTATTTAGCTTATCTATTACTATCTATTTTTAATTAGATTTATCTATCAAATAGAAAGAAGTTGGGCCAAAAAAAAATCACAAAAGGAGGAAAAAAAAAAGGAGACAAGAAAGGGCACATATTGAAAGTTAGTAAAGATTTTCTCATTGTCATAAAATGTTCCTGTAGAACAGAGGAATGTTACAAAAGCGTAGCCCACCTGTATTTATTTTCAGGTGTATGCAAATCAGCTCCTGTAGGAAGTTCCCCCTATACATGGGTTATCAATGGTTCAGTGCCAGACAAGAAAAATACGCTCAATGTAATTCCAAAGGCGCCTGTCCTAGGTTCAGTATGTTACATAGTATTTTCACCTAGGATTTGCATTATGGAGTGGAAAGATTGCTTGTTAGAAAGTGAACGACTGCTTACTAGGGGTTCAAATGTTACTGATCTATAAAGAAAATATGTTGATGGATAACTTCATAATTCAAAACTATTAACAGAATTCTCAATCCATAAAGCAAACTTAAAACCAGAAACAAAAGAACAAACCCTGTTATAAAACACAAAGTACTAAGTATGACTGTTTGACTGCTGATATAATGTAGCATTTTGATCTCAGTGACTTACCTTGTTCCTCACTGATGAGGCCCATATTTGCATGTGCTTGTGCCTCTTTCTTTCCACCATCGATTTTTATTAGTTGAGCAGTGTTAAAGCACTGCTCATAAAAGTAATTCCTTAACCATTTGTCCTCGGAGTCATTGAAGCAGTAGGCCAAGTTCAGCTGGTTATTGTACACTTCTTCATAGTTCCCTTTAAAACAAAATACAGTCAAAACATAAGATCATCGTCAACTTTCACAGGTTTTATCCAGCAATAGCCATACAATGAAAAAAAGGGCTATTTATACATCCACAAGTCAAATACCACCAAATCTCTTAAATTTTCAATCAAAGAAATAAGAGAAGGAGGAAAGATAATCTTTTCAATTAAAACATAATGGAAAACTTACTCTAGCAAAACCACAAGTAAATTGCTATCAGTTTTATATTAAAAAAATATAACGTGTGTGTGTGTATAAATAAATAAATAAATAAATAAATAAATAAATGTGTGTATATATATATATATTTCAATGCAAAATGGAAGGCCTGGGTAAGAAATTGGCTTATCAAGAGAGAGAAGCTAGAGTGAGCTATGCTCTTTCTGCTCACACTAGCTTCTCTCTGTTGATAAGCCTGTTTCTTACCCAGGTCTTCCATGTTGTATATGTATACATATGCACACATATGTATGTATACATACACACACAGACACACACACACACACACACACACACACACACACAGAGCTGCTCCTGGAGAGAGGCGCACCTGGGCCACTGACACCTCAAGAGGCATGGACAGCTTTCCAAGCTATGGTAGAAACTGTGATGATGGGGATTACCAAAAACTGCTCTGTAATTTTCCTATCATTTTAAACATTTAAAATAAGATTGGTGAAAAGATGTGCAGTTTTCATGTACAGTCTTATTTTATTATCTTCTGATTGTTACAAATTAAAGGCAAATTGTAATTTTACATCTTGAAGATGTAAAGAGTTCATCAAGACACTGCTCTAAGAACAGACGTGGAAAGCAGAGGAGATGCAGAAAAACACATTCATTTCCCACTTTTTATCATTTCACTAGCCGTCTTAATGAACAACTATGATTTACTTTGCACAGAAATTAGCCGTCCCACAGAGTATCATTTCATAGACTCTAGATATCTAAAATTAAAAATAAATGCTGTGGGTCCCAAATATAACTAGCATTACAAAATGCATTATTCACAATTTAAAATTACAGAATGAGAGCTTCTATGGAATTACAGATACTTGTCTCGGAAGAGTACATTAAAAAAAAAATCACAGGAGATTATTCAAAAGCTGTACTGATTTGCAGCAGAGACCTGAAACTTAAAGGTACTTGACAAGTCTTATCAAACTGCTTCTCCCTAAGGAATATGAAGTATCTGTTCCCTACAAGATGGTGAAGAATTTAGGAGATTATAAAGTATAACATGTATCAATATGAGTCATAACTGAATTCACTGCTGGTGAAACTACATAAATTTGCTTCCCAAAACTCTGCTTATGTTGGATTTCAATGTGAACAACTAATCAAATTCCATTGTAATTCTGGTTGTTCATTTACTGTGTTTGTGGCTGTTAAACAAATGTAACCCAAAGAGCATGTTCTTAAAATATTGTTTAGTTGGTAAGAAAGGAGTTAAGATCCACAACTCTTGCAACAGATAAAAGAATGTTTGGTTAAGCTAGATGTGTGGATAGAGTTGCTTTGCTTTCAGGAGTTCTGTAATTTGCAAGCTTTGCTCAACAAGGAAAGAAGCAGAGAAAGATAAAAACTTCCACTACTGGATGTACAGAAATCAATTGGCACGAAAAACAAACAAACCCCCAAAAATGATTTCAGTAAATGCAGGATTTAACTCAAAGTCCGGATATTTTCTGTTTTCAAACTAAAGAGCTATGTCAAAGATTTTGAACAAAGGATGGTGTTCAGTTCCTTTGGTTTCTTTATCAGAGGAATTGTTAAGGAAAAGGCCAACACTACCAACAAAAGGGAATAATTTCTTGATTGCAAATTCTATCTCCTCTGTGAGTTACCAATGTTGTTTGGAACAAAAGACACTAATTCCTCAAAGCAGCATTACATTTGTATTTCCTTGTATCTCTTTAGTTTAAACCAAATCAGAGAGTGCTTCCTCCACCTTATCTCTTGTAGGCTCTGTGTCAAAGTTAAAAATTGCATGGCCTTTACTGGGAAGCAATCGAAATTTCTCATACTATCTGTGACCACAATTAAGTTCTTCAACTTCCAAACGTCTTGATAAAGCTCTTTAGCGCATTGCACAACACAGTAAGAACTTTATTCTGACATCTGAAAGAATCCCATTACCTCTTCATCATTTCCACAGTATTCAACACATTTATCTAACATACTTATTTCTCCTTCATTTTTGATCTGAACTTGGACATTTTGAACAAGGTCAGCTAATTTTTCTGTGCTTGAAGTCTTCTGAAGCCAAGCTGAAATATTATTTTCTCTTTCTTGAACATTCACTGTTTTTCTCCTTTAATTTGTAAAATTATTCTTCTCCTTCTTAAACTATGTTTCTTTGTTGTTTATCTAACCTTTGCTTTTCTAAGTAGTAATTTATTTTCCTTTTTATTTTCTTGACAGTTTTTCCACCAATGAAATGTCACCTCATCTTTTCTACCTTTTTAATGATTTCTTAACCCATTTCCATTAAAAAATGTAAAACTGTTATTTGGAAGCTGGCCATATTATATACATTCAGATTTCTAATATTCTAAATAATACTCCAAGAAATCAGAATGTCTAACATCTCTTTATAATCACCATCAGAAATACCTAATAATACAAAGCATAAATACACCAGAAATACTTCTATATGATCATCTCACTATTTGCACCTAAAGCCTGAAATGCTAGGACCAAAATATCAGCTGAAGTTAGAAAAAGTCTTGTTTTAATGAAAAAAAATTATCAATATGTAAGCTTCATGTTTTCTTAAGCATAGCATTCTTCATGGCTATGAATTCCATGTCTTTTGTTCCTCTTGAGGCTGTGTACTGTGTAAAACTTATTTATACATTAGAAATTAAGCCTATCTCTGCGTATAATACTGGAAAGGCTTAGGGATATGAGTGTGTGTGTGTGGGGGGCTGCTGTATACTTAGATATGTATAAGATACTGTTGAGATTCACCCAATATAACAGATACAGACTCGTATTATGTAGGACGGCTTTAATGAATGAATAAAGGCTGATAATTCTTGGATGTGTTTTACCTCAGCCCAAGTTAAATATCTATTGCTTCACAAGACAGCACTCTAGTTCTAAAGCTTCTTTCAAAAGTGCAAGGCAGAGGCTCCCATGAAAATTTGAACTACATAAATAACCCCATGAACGTAAAGAAAAAGATAAAATATAATTGTAGTGATCACTAATATATTGTAAGATAACAATGCACATTATATCCTCATTAAACCTAAGTGAAAATGAATTTAGATACCAGAGAATACCTTCAAGTGGCTACCTTAAGGCAGTAAGGGGAAAGAGAATTTGATTGTTGTTGGGAGAAGAACATAAGATACAGATGTATTGTCTTTAAAACCTTTGCTACAAGTTATCAAGGCACTAATATTACATAAAATTATGCAAATGACTTTAGGTAGTCCCCTACAAATCTCAAGAGATGGAACCGACCCAGGACTGACTACTGTTGCTGCCACAGCTTTGATTGAATGAACTGCAGCGTGACCCTGCGCTGATTCTCCTGCCGCTGAATAACAATGAGAAGTGCACGACAACAGCCCTTTTTCCCCAACTGTCTCAGACAGTGGCTACCAGATATGCTGGTGTCACAACAAAACAACCCCCAAAAGACAGACTTCTAAAAGCAAGATTGCCTTCTAGACTCAAAGTTGCTTGGATTTATAAATCTAGAAACTCATAAATATTATTCTGACAGTGGTAAAGTCAGACCATTAGATTTTGTGAAAGTCAACTTTTTATCTCCCGGGAGAAAAAACATACCAGAATAGGTAAATACTCTTGTCTGTAAAATCTCCCATAGGTAGTTCAGTTATTAAAGCATTGACCTCTCCAATTTTTGTGAAGTAAATTCTCTACTTCTGAGGCAGAATACATGTAGTGGAGAAAAAAGCATTTTTATTTAGCAACAAAAACAACAACAATAGGAAAGGAAAGCACTGGTAAGTGACACTGAATGAACAAAGAGAAGTCTGAGTCATACAAGCAATTAAAAAATAGCTCCTGCAAGACAAGTTCCAAATACCAAACCAGATAAAGTTTATGAGAAGCAGAAGAATCATATAAACAAAAGAATACGGAGTTTAGGCCAGGAAGAATTGAAAGCATCATACAATAGTAATAAAATACTGCTAAGTATGTCAAGCAACTGCTATTAATGGGGTATCCACAAACAAAAGCATAAGTTTGCCTCAGGAAAGGACAGGTTTCTTTATCCTTTCATACTCACTCACTGCACTGCAAAAATAAGAGAATAAAAAGCATGTATCCAATGCATATAATATAGTCCTCAACACTAGATTAAGTATAGAAATTATCAGATAATGGAGAACTTGTAAATTAATCACACTAGCTTTTTCTTTCTTTTTCTTTTTCTTTTTTTTTTTATTTTTTTTTTTTTGCCAAAATTTCTTATCTTGCCTGAGAGCTCAGCAAAAACATATTTATTTGGTTGTGGTCATGGATCTTCAAAGGTAAATTAAGCCACTGAAGGAGAAAAGACTTCCTTATTCAACCTCCCCAGGTAAAATAAATTTCTTATGGCAATGAAGTTTAAGTCAAAATAGTGGTAATTTGCAGCTAAACACCACTTAAAAACCAACATAATGGAATACATTTATTGCTCTCATTAAAAGAAAATGTTGAAATGCAGCTTATAGATTGCATTCCACAGTTCTATACTTGAGATATCTTCTTTACCACAAGTATTTGCTCAGCAGCCTACCTGAGACAGGTAGAGTCTCTTTCTGATTAGCAGGAACAACCAAACCATAAAATTCTCACAGTTCACAGGCCCAGATAACTATTTTTAGCTTTCCAAGCCACTTTCAACTTGAACTGTGATGGCTACGGAGCAAATGCAGGTCACCTGCTGCCAAGACTGCTACAGGGTGGTAAGTTCAAGCTGAAGGGTGAACTGTACAGCTGAAAAATTCTTAAATGTTGTCAACTAAAGTTGTCAGGAGATCATAAGCCAGAGCCCCAAGCGATCTGATTAAAAATCAGAGAGTAACTGGATTAGCAGAACTACTGAATTAGTATTTAATGAACTGTATAATTCAAACATTATCCTCACAGCATTACTTGTTCTAACATCAGCAACATGACTTAGCATTCACCCCTTCACACAGCAGCTAGTTCAAGCATGGAAACCGGTTAGGAAAAAAAAAAAAAAAAAGCAAACTCAAACTATACTCTGAGCAGGCAATTCGGGGAAGATGCACTGCTTGAACACCTGCCAACTCTGCTGGCACGGTCTCGTTATTTTATTGTGTTTTAACTAACCTAACAGGCCACGTTGGGAGACAAGCTCTCACAGAGGCAGGCTGCAATCTGCTGGCTCAGTGGCGGGTGGTACTTCGTCTCCAAGAGAGAGCAGGGGCTCGGGGAGCACGGCGCAGCACGATGCCGGGCTCGGGAGACACAGGTCCCTGCTGTTGACATCAACTGGACCCGCACCTTGACTCTCCGAGGGCACATCTGCCAACTCTGCTGTCCAACGAACAGCAGCTAACAGCACTGAAAAATCCCTTGCCTCTCCAAAGGCATGAAAGGAGGGCAAAATATCCTCCTCAGACAGCTGCAGGAAGCAGGCCCATCAAGCCAGGCCGCACTTACTGCTTTTGCAATGGCAGAGCAATGGCAGAGATGCTTACGTCAGGGCAGTCCCAGCAGCAAAACTTCTCTCTTGCACATCTGTAAGTTACAGGGGGTCTATTCAGGTTTTAGTTGCAGACCAGAAAAAAACCAAGGATTCTTTCTTAGCACGGCCTAGCTAAACTTTCTGTCTAGATTTATAGCAAATTAAAGACCGACAGCTTAGGGTTCTCATAGGGAATATAAAATAAATGTTTTAAATCAGTGACGGCAAAGCTCTTCTTTATTCTTTGTTAAAATGAAGTTATCCATTTCCAAAGTTCAGACAAAAAGTTCAGGTCCTAAACTCATAAGCTTAGATTTCCATTCTTGTCATGATCAAAATATAACATGAAACACGACACCTATAATGAAATAGCCTCTGCTGCAAAATAAGATTTTGTAAGAGCTTTATCTGCCTCCATTCCTACAATTATTCCAAAGGAGAAAGACAGAGTATGTTAGGTTACTATTTATAGTGAAAGGAAATGATAAATGTAAGAGTTTAGTAATGGATATTCAGTAGAAGAAAATACAGTAATTCGGAGTTATGTCTTCACTAATATCTAGTAATTCACAGGTGGCAAGTTACATCTGTGTGCTGCATTTCACTTGACATGTTCACAATCCTTTTAAAGTCGGTCACAAATCCAAACATAGTTAGCAGACAGGGTATTTAATAAAAACAGATTTATAAAACTATTACTGCATGAAACAACATTTCACCTATTAAATTTTTCTACTCCAAATCAATAGAGGAAGAAAGATAATAAATAATGAAACTATAAGACAATAATTGAGACGTTATCAGAACTATAAATATATCAAGCATTTCCAGTGATATCATAATGCACTCTGGATATTTTCCCCCTTTTATTTCCCAGACCCTCTCCCGGTATCTGCAGTTCCTCATCATTTATCCTATAAATACAGCTCAGCTGACTAAGGCTGAAAAGCGCTGGGATGCAGTAGCGCTTCCAATTCGTACATGAAACAGTTTGGAAGCTTCCCCGAGGCACCGGCGGCTGCGGCCCCCGTCAGCCCCGCGTTTACCTGCTCGCTGCGCGGCCTCGGCCCTGGTCAGGAAGTGGTAAAGCTGATCCAGCTTATCAGGCTGCTCCTCCAGGGACTCCTGCTGCCATATGGCTGACCCAGGCCCCGCAGCCTCCCTCAAGGCATTCCACTTCTGTATCAGAGTGAAGAGCTCCGAGAAGGACTTGTGATAACCCTGTCGCAGCATGTCTATGCAGATGTTCTTCTTGTATGAATTCCTGCAACTGGGAATAAGAAAGGGGGATTTCAAGCCTTTCAGCCTGCATTCTGTTCTCCACCTTACTAAATAAGTGCTGATACTAAAGCAGTTTTCAAGAAGAGACCTCTGCAGCTCACCCGTGGAGAAGGGCTATTTTCTCCCCTACTGAAAAAACATTCTGTTAATGTATGATTAAGGAGGTCCCACCCTAGGGAAGTAAATATAGAAACAGTGAGTCAATACCCATATACATATTGCAAACATGTTAAAAATACACCAGTATCATTCAACCCGGCCAAGTAGACTGAGTGAATGGGGGATTGGGAGAAAGGATGTTAACATTAGTTTATGGAAACACAATAAAAATCTTAGTTTGCTTTAAAACAGTGAACAGGGAAAAATGAAGCACATTCTGCATGCCAAAACAATGTATATGTTAAGTAGTTTTGCTAGAGGTTATGATGGCTTGGTTTAAAACGTCAGACAAATGCTATGCCAGAAACACAAGCATTACATATTATTTTGCTTCTGTTTAGCATATAACTTCAGCTGGGATTGGTATACTGATACAGAAGTTTGATGATTCTCCCCAATTTTAAAATCCAGTGATATTTCCACAGAGCTACAATGATAAATTTATATCAAAGTTATATCATTCATAAACACTGATGAGATGTACATATCAAAAAGATGCATGATTAAATATTCTCAAGAGGTAATAGATCTTTTGAGGCAGTATTTCTGGAAATAACCCAAGTATTTCTTCCACATGGCACGAAGCAATCATTGCATTCCGTCCTGGAACAAGCTACGAGTCCGGTGGGACCGCTTGTGACGCACATATGTAAAGGTTTGCGGAATTGGGTGTCCTGCGTGAGAAAGCAAACCCCTGCTCCAGTAACATGGTAACGACCCAGATGTGCTCATTTTATTTTGCAATTTCTATTCAAGTTTTGGAAAAAAAAAATAGAAATGGTATTTGTGGATTTAACTGCAAATTCTCGGAGACTTTAAAAGAAAAACAGAATTTTGAAAACTGAGATTTACAGCACATGTATACAATAAATTCAGACGGACCGCATTCTAAACAAAAACCTAATCTCTCTAATGAGACTAATGCTTCTAGTTTAAAAAGAGCTACTGCAATTCTTGAACATGGAAATGGTGCAAACAACATCTTAGCTAGGTGTCCATGGAATAACCAATGAGATTTCATAAGGAAATATACCATGCTGTTTATTTCATATTTCATACCATTAAAATAAAATCTACTATTACACAGATGCAGGGGAATCCTGCATATGTATCTTTCTTACATGAAATTTCTATTGCACAGTTGAACAGAAAAAATATTACACAATTCTAAGAGATACATGACATGATTCAGGCTAGACAGCATTGGATTTATTTTTAATACATAAATAGGTGTTTTTCAAGACTGAAAAACTCACATTATACCTGCACACAAGGGAAGATGTATGACCATTTTGTACCAGTAAACATTTGCAACGTTTCTTTGCTAAAAGCAAATGAGAAATACCTTCAAACATTTAAGATTTAATTTGTCAGAATATGCTATAAATAGAATATATCAGATTCAAGATATACTGCTTCAAAATATTAGGAAGATATTACATTAACATATTGTATGTATTCTCCATCCTTTCTTTTTTTTACATTTTTATTCAACTAAAGGGAAGTTAACAAATAAAGGTAAAAATTTCTACCAACTTACAAAGGCCTAATACCGAAATCTATGGTAATATAACTCAAAGTGGTAGAAACACAGTTTGGATAGCTTACATAGATACACATTTATCTACTCATCTAATGTGGGGTGTGTGTGTGTGTATATATATATATATGTATATGTGTGTGTATATATATACACACACACATATATTAACATGTGTACGTACATATATTAGGTGAATAGATATATTAGCAAAAAGTATGTTAAAACATTATAAAAATTGCTTATCAAATATCATTTAGTTACATTTAGTTACCAACATTTATATAAACAGAAAAACCTGTGTCCATGTAACATATTTGCTGCAGATCCGTGTATTCTAGCACATTTTCCCCACAAACAGTTGAATATTGTCAATTACTTACATATGCATTTACATACAGAAAAATCAGACAGCTTTAAAATGAACGTTTCACCATTGTTTTAATAAAAGCCAATGTCAATTATCAAAGAAATTGAGGTAAGGCTGAAATAAGCATATAGTACAGGTCACATCTTTTTCTCAGGCAAGGATATGAATTGCGTTCATAAGAGGTCAATAACTGTCTGCTGTAAATATTCAAATTTTAGAGATAAGATAAAAGCTATTTTTAAAAGTTTAATTAAAAATAGAAAAATACCTGAAGAGTAAAATATTACATTTGTATTGTTATGTTAGTGTTATATGTAAGTCATAAGTGACTTATCATACATGAGGGATAAAACAGGGAGAGGCTTCAATGATACTATAGAGATGAATGATTATTAGTGTGACCCACGAGCTCGACACTGCAACAAATTCTGAAATTGCTTTAACTATCAAAGGGCTTCTAGCAGCATTATTTTTCCACCAACAGTGCTTTCAGAAAGAGGAGCGATAGGTGACAGAATCAAACTTTTCACTGCATCTTCAAACAAGCTGTAACTGCTCCGAGCAAGCGCTTGTCTTTATGCATATTGCATCTTTATAATACCAAGCAATATGTAATCAGAGAACTGCCATGGAATGACTCATATTTTATATAAGTGAAGATTATTTTATTCCTAATATCAATATCAAAAACTGATTATTAAATGCACATAATTTATTTTCTAAAAACCACTAACTTTCACTCGAAACCTCTACCGCATTAATAAACCTCTTGAATCGTACCACGCAGCACAGTAATTAATACATACTATTAAGCGGGTGTGTTTATTTTTCTACAGCGTGTCCAGGCCAGTTTGAGGTTTCCTTTGAACAATCGGGCTGCTTCGAGGAGGGGAACGGGCAAAGAGCCGCTGCCTCCTCGCTAAGGCCAAGAGGTTCAGCCAAGAGGTTCAGCCAAGAGGTTCAGCGGTCTCTGGGGGCATCTCCTGGAGAGGCGCAGAACTGCAGCGGGCCCGGCCGAACCTGCGGCGGGCCCGGCCCCGAGCTGCGGCGGGCCCGGCCGAGGGAGGGCAGCGGGCCTGGGGCCGCCCCGGTGCCCAGCGCGCACCCCGGTGCCCCGCTCGCACCCCACTGCGGTGCCCAGACAGGCCGGCCTCTCCCAGCCCTGCCGTGCCTGCGAGCAGGAGCTTTTAGAAACGCTCTTGGAAAAGCATCATCTTTTCATGAAATATAGGACACAGATAAGTATTTATCATTACACTTGAAACAAAGGGACTGATTCATGTGGTCCTACTCTAAAGCAATGGTTTTAAGGTTTTGTTTGTTTGTTTTTATATCTGTTAATTTCAACAGCTGAAGGACACAATTCTTAACACCACACAGGTAATGCTAGGAGTTTTCTGTTCATCTGACTCCACGTTCACCTCTGCCTGCTCGATGTAACCAGACGTTTGTGCACACAGGCTGCCTAGAACAGCGACAAGGGGGTTTGTGTAGTGGCCAGGATGTCACAGCACGAGGGGCACTAAAATTCTGCTTGAATGTGAGAATGAAATCAGAACATTTTTCAGTACAAAATAAACAAACACCAAAAGCTGAAGTTACCATTTTAGTGCTACCATAGGCAGGGTTTTCATGTAGGTTTTAGCAACCACTGAGCGTGGATCTGGGAGCTCCTGCTGTTAACATACTAGGTACTTCAAATATACCTGGATATTGCTACAGGCATTTTACTTTTCTTACACCATACAGCTACTTGTATAATTTTCTTATACATGTTTCTTTCATTATTATTATTCTAGCAACACCTCCAGTCATACAGAGGAATTTGCCTCAGCACAAAAGTGTGATTCTAATCCTTCTTCACCAGTATGAAAATGAGAAATATTGATCTCTGCATTGTATTTTCCAGAATCCTAAGCAAATCTTGGTGATCAGTGACCAGTGCCATCTCACCTTCCTTTTAACTCCAAATCCCATGCAACAAGGCTATCCTTGCATTGAAAGGGAGGATAAAATAAAGCTGAAAGTCTTGCATTGCTATTTAAAATAATCAAAATAATCAATATAGCATAACAGAATTACTTGTCATGATCTTAATAATACATGCAAAAATCAGCATGGGTATGTTGGAAAAACAATGCTGCCATTTTCAGCAGAGACTATTTTTTTCGTATCGTTAGACTTTCTAAGACTAAGCAAGTACTGCAGGTTAATGCCAGCTGCTGATTCTTCTGCAAGTACATGTAACGATCCCATTTGTAAGGCTCCAAATGGCACGGACTCAGCAGTGATACAATTAAAATATTACAGTGTACTTGGAGTGTAAAATAATTATACTAAATATTATAATCCTTTAGAATATGACAATCCTTTAGAACAGTATTGAAATATGTTTCATCTATTTGGGTTTTCCTTCTGTTGTTCACAAGTAAATTGCCTGATAAATTATCACAAAATTAAGAAAAAAAATCATTTTTCCTGTATATTTCCTGTTTATAAAACTACAAGAAAATCAAAATTTTAAATGGAGCTTACATACAGTAAGCTACTTTGCACTTAACCTATGTGAAAACACACACAGCGTAAACAAGGAAATATCAGAATTGCCTCACTAAAATTTAAGTATGTGTATTAAGCAAAACCAAACAGACAAGACAGAACATTGCAAAGGCAATGCTATAGCCAGGCATGCTATAAGGGTTAAAACTTTTAGGGAGCTAATTCTGAGAATCAAAAGAGGAAAATTATTATTTAGTTATACCCAAACCTACCAAACAAATGATTTTGTAACATTTTTAATGACTAACATTAAAATGAAAAAAGTACTTCACTCAAGTACCTAGCTGCAAGGTAGGTATGTAACCCTAAAGTAGGAGTACTACAGCAATATATAGTCTAACTGCCTAAAGATGTATGGATT